CTTCTACTGTTACTGCTACTGCTACTGCCACTGCCACTGCTAACTGCTACTGCTACTGCTACTGCTGCTGCTACTGCTGCTGCTACTGCTACTACTACTGCTCTTCCGTTTGCTGCCTCTACTGCGCCTGCTGCTCCTCTTACTACTGTTATTGCTACCCCACCTACCAGCAGTGTTAAACGTTGTTACTGCTGTTGCGACTGCTACTGCTACTGCTACTACCGCTGCTACTTACTCCGTCTGCCGCCGCTACTCCTCCTACTACTGCTACCGCACATCCTACGAGCAGTGTTGAACTTCGTCATGTGATACCAATGCCATGGTAGTAGTGGTTGTGATGGCACTCTTCGTCGTGGGATGTTGCCTGACACCTTTATAGGAGGCCTTCGGACATTGGTGAGAGCCCCTGCACGCTGCAGACGCTTCCTTTCAATGTGCGATTTGCGAGAGTCGTGCCTAAAGCCTTGAACTAGATAAATCTCCAAGCCTTCAATCCCTTTGAGGATGTGGCGCGAAGACCGCGCCGGCCTGGCTCGTGCTTGTGCTCTGGGGGCCTGTGATCCAAAATCGGCAAGAGTGTCGAGTTTAGGGTAGTCTCAGCTATATCGAAGGTTTGTAACGTCAGCCAGAAAGCAGCAGCCATATTGCATTCATGACAGCATCGAGGACATGACCCAACACAGCAATGTTATTGATCTCAAGCAACAACTTAGGCCACAGAACCAATCATGTTGCTACTGAGACCGGCTGATCAAGCAGAGCACAACGTGTATCTTGCGGACAAGTGCAAGGAACTGTGGCAAAGGGGACATCCAGCAAAAGCCTCGAACATCTATGGCCTGGAAGAAGAGACGAAAGGTCTTCTTTCTGCTGGTGAGAGTAGGGCTCACAGCACCAAGGTGAATTTCCAACCCGTCTTCACAACCCTCGACGAGCTTCTTCAATTTGCAAACAAGCACAAGCACCACTTCTTCAGCCTGGTTGAACGGGTCGCGAAAGAGACTGGGGCCACTTACTTTCTTCAATCTCCATTTGAAAGGCCAAGATCAAGCTCCATTGGATGGTGGATATCGCGAGCTGCAGCTCACAGTTCGGGAGGTGGTTTAATCTGCCAGCTTCAATTGACCACGAAATACATGCTCTTCACGAAGGAATCCAGCGGCCACAGGGCCTTCGAGTGAGTCTTGTCGAGCTTCCGCTGAGATCAGGGCCCATGCTGCGCAAAAATCGAAGCTGGGAACGGGCAGACGGCCTTCTTGCTCGGACTCTTTGCGGCAGCATGTGCGTCCAGAATTCCAAACCGTGGCGAGGTGCGTCTCCATGAGACGCACCTCGCCACGGTTGGGTGTGAAGGAACTGATCTTCAAGGCAGGCACTTGGCTGAAGGAGGAGGTGAGCGGTAAGAATGCCAGGCCTGGACATCACCATCGAACTGGCAAATGCAAATAAACCCGACTGTCTCAGGCTCCTGATCCACCTCTGCGAGCAGTACTCAGTAGACGGATTTCGAAAGGTCTGCGGACTTGACATTTCTGAGGGTCGGTGATGAAGCATGGCAAAGCAGGCCACGTCGAGTTTCTCGTCCACAATATGGCCACAAAGCATGAGATCGCCAACGACGTTCCTGCTGCTTTTCGTTTCCTGGAGCAGCAGGAGGAGACAAGTCCCAAGACGTGAGAGGTTCGGCCTCGGCGACACGAAGTGCGACGAAAAGATCGAACTACTGGGGGGGATGCGTGGAGGTGCGCCTCCATGCTGTCGCAGTCCTTGGGCGTGGCGGAGCTACGATGCGCCATCGAGGAGCTCGATGAGGAGGTTCAAGAAATGATTCAAGAAAGGCTCAGGAACAGCTTGGAGATCGTCTCTGCGGCCTACGACGGTAATGCGCAGAAGGTCGTCGAACTATTGTGCAACTGGGCGAATCCCAACAGTGCCAACCACAACGGGAAACATGCGCTCCACCGTGCACTGGCTCGTGGCCACACCGCTATGGCCAGGCAGCTGCTGACGTACAGTTGTAGGTGAGCAGCTGCCTGGCCATGGGTTAAGGCCGACATTTGGCTGAAGGAGATTCACGACAAGAATGCTTTCGACGTCGCTCTGGAAGTTGCAGCCTGCAACTTCCAGAGCGACGTCCAAAGCATTCTTGTCGCGACTCTCCTTTAACCAGATGTCGGCCTTAAGCCATGGCAGCGCAGAAGCCCGGTTCTCCCGACCTCTTGCTCGACCTTTGTCACGACCAATTCAAGGACTACAGAAAAATGCAAGCTTGACGCTGCTGATGTTGTTGCTGAGGCATGGGCAAATTCCGGACCTCATCAAGCGGCTGCTCCACATGGGAAGCCCTTGCCCTCATGTAATGTAGTAGAAACAACAACTACAACTGTTTCAACATAGTCTGGTGGAGTCGCGATGGTCCTCCTCCGAGACCTTGTAGCAGAAACGCCCGGATCCGAAACCCTAAACCCGGGAATGTGCCCTAGGGAGAAGCCCGGGAATGCCCGGCAGGTCTACGGCTACTCGCATGTGTCTCGGGACCAGGCGTCAGCTGCCTGACCCTTATCATCCTGAGGTGTTGTATTCAGGTGGTTTGGTTTAGGTTTAGGGTTCAATGTCCCAGTGGGGTGCTGGCATTCATCAAGTCCAGATGTAAAAAAAGGTCCCGGGTTTATGGTTGAGGGTACAGGGTCCATACCCTTACTGTTTCATTCGATTGCGAGTACCACTAAGATCATGCCTTCTTATATGACAAGCAAGGCCTCGGTTCAACAAAGGGTCCTCGAACCATCCGCGGGACGACATGCAAAAACTGAGGTACGACAGAGCCTGAGGGCCTGAGCAAAGAGTGCAAAGCGGTGGTTCACTCTTCTCATTCGGACTGACTCCGAACGCCCAGGTCCAGCACTTCTGGGAGTTTTGCCGGTTGTACTTCGAGCTGCTTCTGCATGTGTTAATCTGGTGTGCGGAATTCGCTCCGGCTGTCTGGTGTTTCACAGTTACTGCACAGTCAGATTCCCTCTCCGTGGCACGCAGGGTCTGTAAATGCCAGTCGGCACATGTTCGAACGGTGGCAGGTCCAAGGGGATTGACCCGAAGAGTACCAAGATGATGCGAAGACTCACGGCACGGGACTTGGCCGGCCCACCCCGTGGTTTCGGTTTGCTTAGCATTTATGTGGGGCTTGAGTTCGTCAGATAGTTCTGACACAGGGGCCGTAGTTCAAAGCCTTCGGAAAAGCACAATCCGGAGGGATGCGCTTGATTTGGTGCCCCAGCTATTGCTTTGAGTCCCAACCCACAGGGCTATAGCGGTTGCTTGTGGTTTTCGTGTTGTCTACTAGTTGGTGGCGAGGGAAAACTCAGAGGGAGCAGCCGCGGGTCATCATTTGAAAGCAGATGTTCCGGTGAGTTCAGCATTTGTCCCCTCCAGCAGCCTTGGTCTGCATCGTTGAGCACGTCCTGAATCGGATGCCTTAGCAGCCTTAGCCGTAGCTCGCTGCTCGTGCGTTGGATTGCGGGTCACTCTAAGGGAGGCGGCTGAAGCACTGTGTCCCGCAGCCCGACTTGACGGCGGTACTAGCGCGACGGTGCCCGACTGCCAATAGGTTTGGCAGGCCTCATCTTCGTTCCGCCAGGGGAACCGGCAGACTTAATTTGCGTGGGGGAGAGAGCGGGCTGGTTCACCCGCAAATGCCGATGAAACCCCCATGCCATGAACCATGTACATCCATGAAATTCGTCGATTTAGGCTTGGGCCAGCCTGGGACTCTGGGACGCGTAAGATCAGGAACCCGAATACTCAAAACGAGTGCCCCAAAACTGAAGTTCTTGTGAGGATGCTCTGGTGCTACGGGACACATATTGGCACGAGTGGAATCGTGTCCTCTTCATGTGCCGGGCTCAGGAGTTCGGTCATCTTGAAGCTCGTTTGGGCCTTTGTTGTGCTCTTACCCTGAGAAAAAAAACGAAGCTAAAATGCGAGAGGGACAACAAACTAAACTCGGCTATGGACTGTCTTTGTTGCTGGCTGTCAGTGACGTGCCGTTGTCGTGGTGCCTGCCACGTGGGAGCGTGCGGGTCGAAATTTTTGCGTTAAAGTGCTAAGGAATGACATTGAAATCACCGAGTTGTCCTGGTTCCAGAGCCGGCAGTACCAGGACCTTCTGAGCGGCAGGGCTGTTGAGTCCACATTGCCTTCAGGTTAGCAAGCAGTTACTCGTACAGGTGCAAGTGAATCCTACCCTGGCTGCGGCCATCGGGGACGACTACTACTGCTGCTTCTACTGCTACCCCTACTCCGACTCCACCTCCTTTCCTCCTCCTCCTCCTCTTTCTCCTACTCCTACTCCTACTTATACTCCTGCTACTACTCCTACGCCTACTGCTGCTGCTTCTGCTACTGCTGCAGCTACTGCTACGGCTACCGCTACTGCTGCTGCTACTACTGCTACAGTACTACTGTTTCTATACAGATCGCAACAGCCCTAAGTGCATCGGATGCCTCGTTGAGTTTGCTAAGTCACATGAAGCAAGGACTTCTTCGAATTCCTGGACTCCGTGGGAGGGTTCCCTGGCAACAGCGAGGGGGAACAGTTCTGGAATCCTGTTTTGTCGAGCTCCGAGTGCGAGCTCTGTCGAAACCTGACTTGGCCCTCGACTCTCTGCGAAAAAAGAACGCTGACAGAACCGCGTGGTTCAGAAACTCAAGTCAAACTCCGGCAAGTCTTCAGCAGATCATTCTTTGGCCAAGTAATGCACCTGCACAGAGCTGGGTGAACGCGAAAGACCGTGATGCAAGGATCTGGCTAGCCCCCAGGCGCAGTTGCAAAAACGAGTTATAAGTTCGGGACCAAAACAATCAATACAGTGCACCTAGATAAAGGATTCAAACCTTACCCCCTGGCTCTGGGGAAGTACATTCAAACGTTGGGGTTTATTCGCTCTTTGAGGCTCCTCCTTAAGGGTTTGGGATGATCTCCACGTGACACCTGACTTCCCTAAGCCGATTTGAAGCCAAGGTTCTGGCTCTACCGCTGGGGGGATCATGCCGCGCCGCCCCTACTTCGAGTCCCACACTTTGGGTTGTAATCGCAGGCAGGTCGTCATTTAGAAAGGTCTGGCTGAATTTCATGCGATTGCCCATGGTCGCTGGCAGTTCTTGAAGGTTTGGTTTTCAATTTTTACGACTCTTCGTCCGTCAAAGCTCAGCGACGTGTGTGTGTGTGTGCAGAATTTTGGTATTCGTGGTACTTTCGAATCGGCACCCGAGACTACCGGAGTTCAAGGCCCGAGTCCCTCATGGCCGAGTGTGGCCATTGGTGCCGCTTTGGTAAGCCTGGACTCTGAACATCTATAAGTCCAAAGCTTCCATGCCGCAACCGCAGGCCCTAAGGAGTAGGGCGGGAGCCAAAGCACTCGACCAAAAACTGGCAGAACCTCGAAAACTCAGCCACGCTCTGAAGCTCCGAATCCGTTTTAAGGTCCGGACTATTGCCGTGGCCCTTTTCTTGAACCCGGACCATCTCATGAGGAGCCCCGAAGCTCTGTCGGGGTTCCCGTTTAAAGTTTAAAGCTTTTGAGGGCTGCTTGCGCTTTTTTGGTGTTTGTCCTTCGTTTCTTGCGAGGTCTTGATGGGCTTTCGGGGCTGCGGTTGTTCTAAGTTAGGTTCACTGGCTTAGCTGCCTCTTCGTACGAAATGGACTAGTAAAGCCAGCATACTTTCGAGCACCCCCATATGATCCATGCCTTGAGAATAGTGGCAATTTCGGACACGACTTGCTAAGTTCGCCACCCCCACGGAGTGTCAAAATCCGCGTTCACCAGCCATGACTTTTCGAGGATGCGTGTGCCATATGGTCATCAGAACACCTGCCGATGTCAGCCGCCAAGACTTTGGCAATGATTCAGCATGATGTTGTTACGTCCTGTTCATGTGCAGCATGTTGTTGTGCTTTGTGTGTGCGTGTGTGTGTGTCAAACCTTATCGCTCGAAGTGACAAAGTCATTGACAGCTTACACAGACATTGCTCGTTCCGACCGGCCGCCGGGTCTGATGAGGTCGCCCTTGGGACAACTGCTGAGCAGTCTTGAGATGTAAATACTGGCAAGCGGAAAGGTCTTATCCGCTGGTGTAAACGTGTCGAAGAGTGCAGAAGCTACATAGACTTGAGCATGAGAAGACGCCCAGGCGGTGACGACCGCCCGAACGAGGTTTGTGTGCGTGCCTCCAGCTCCGCCTGGCAAGGACCTCAGAGGAAAGACTGGTGGGTTGCAGCGGCGCAGACAAGGTTGATGTTGCTGTTGCAGCACATAGCCACCTGAGGGTATTTACAGCGCCAGATGCTGGAATATGCAGTCGGAAGCAATCTTTTTTTATTGTAGGAATGCAAGGGAGGTGCTTTGCACATGTTTCATTGAACCAGAGTCTTGCTGTGGGCAACACACACTTCTCTCGGATTTGCTACTCACACGGGAGATTGGATTGACAAATCTCTTCAAGGCCTGATAGTAGCTTAGCTCAACCACCACTGCCATCTAATCAGTCCAGGGGCCGGTTTCAAGGTCGAAGGTCGTGCTGATTGCAGTTGTGCTTCCGTGCGCGTCTTGGGAATCCGGCCGGCGTTCTGACCTAAGCGGCAGCGCGCTGCACGGCCACTGCCCCATCTACTGAGGTGGCGTTGCATCCATGAGTCCGAGATTGCGGCTGTGCCACCAGGATGGGAGGGGAGTTCTGAAACCCGTCGATGCCCGATTTTTTTGCTTCGAAAGCCAGCGTAAAACTGGTCAAGCCTGCTTTTTGCAGTACACTTGAACATGCGTGAGCCAGCGTGCCGATTCTTCCTGCTTTCTCATAGCTTTGATTTCATCTTGGCAGCCTTGCTTCTGAAACTCCAAGCTCGTGAGCTAGCGCAGCGAAGACCGTGATGTCGCCAGGAACCATTGTCGCTTCCGGCGAGGTTGAGACAGTGAAGGAAGAGATTCTGTTCGGCGGCACATAGCTTTGGCATGATAAAACGAGTGTGCAAGGAGCTGTTGGGCCTGTAATGAAGCTGTATATGCTGATGCCAGTATATATCAGAGATATCAGGCTGGCTTACTTACATGCATATGTACATACATACACA